TGCTATCTGCACTCTGTGAGTGAGCCTCCCCCTGCACTCGCTGCTATCTGCACTCTGTGAGTGAGCGTCCCCCTGCACTCACTGCTATCTGCACTCTGTGAGTGAGCCCCCCTGCACTCACTGCTATCTGCACTCTGTGAGTGAGCGTCCCCCTGCACTCGCTGCTATCTGCACTCTGTGAGTGAGCCCCCCTGCACTCGCTGCTATCTGCACTCTGTGAGTGAGTCCCCCTGCACTCACTGCTATCTGCACTCTGTGAGTGAGCGTCCCCCTGCACTCACTGCTATCTGCACTCTGTGAGTGAGCGTCCCCCTGCACTCACTGCTATCTGCACTCTGTGAGTGAGCGTCCCCCTGCACTCACTGCTATCTGCACTCTGAGTGAGCGTCCTCCTGCACTCACTGCTATCTGCACTCTGTGAGTGAGCATCCCCCTGCACTCGCTGCTATCTGCACTCTGTGAGTGAGCGTCCCCCTGCACTCACTGCTATCTACACTCTGTGAGTGAGCATCCCCTGCACTGCAGCTGCTATCTGCACTCTGTGATGGCGTCCCCTGCACTGCTGCTATCTGCACTCTGTGATCAAGGCGTCCCCCCTGCATTCGCTGCTATCTGCACTCTGGGGTGGCGTCCCCTGCACTCGCTGCTATCTGCACTCTGGGGTGACCGTCCCCTGCACTTCGCTGCCTATCTCTGCATTCTGTGAGCGGCGTCCTCCTGCACTCACTGCTATCTGCACTCTGTGAGTGAGCGTCCTCCTGCACTCACTGCTATCTGCACTCTGTGAGTGAGCCTCCCCCTGCACTCACTGCTATCTGCACTCTGTGAGCGAGCGTCCTCCTGCACTCACTGCTATCTGCACTCTGTGAGTGAGCCTCCCCCTGCACTCACTGCTATCTGCACTCTGTGAGCGAGCGTCCTCCTGCACTCACTGCTCTCTGCACTCTGTGAGTGAGCGTCCCCCTGCACTCGCTGCTATCTGCACTCTGTGAGTGAGCGTCCCCCTGCACTCGCTGTTATCTGCACTCTGTGAGTGAGCGTCCCCTGCACTCACTGCTATCTGCACTCTGGGAGTGACCGTCCCCCTGCACTCGCTGCTATCTGCATTCTGTGAGCGAGCGTCCTCCTGCACTCACTGCTATCTGCACTGTGAGTGAGCGTCCCCTGCACTCACTGCTATCTGCACTCTGTGAGTGAGCGTCCTCCTGCACTCACTGCTATCTGCACTCTGTGAGTGAGCCTCCCCCTGCACTCACTGCTATCTGCACTCTGTGAGCGAGCGTCCTCCTGCACTCACTGCTATCTGCACTCTGTGAGTGAGTGTACTCACTGCTTCCATTGGTGACATGGTGGACAAGAGGGATGTCATCTCAGCAGTGTGATGTTTCTAGATCTGCCAACATGGATTAAATTGTCCATAAATGGACAGCAATAAAACAATTATTACAATCAGGGACCGAGAAACAGGATTTCCAACATAATACCAGTCAGATCAGATTCAGGCCTCTTGGGCGGTATGTCTACCGTGTGCTAAAGGAGGGATATCAACTTCTTCAAAGTTTCCCAAGTACTTGGCAAAGAGGGGTGAGCTTCCTGCCCCTCCATAACACGAGCACAATGCATTCATTTCTATTGGTTTTATTCCATTTATATATAAAGCACTACGGATTAGTATATGCAGCAAAGCTTAAATAAGGTTCCTGTGTTTCGCTTGTATTGTAGATCTCCACCCTCTGATAACATGTATGTTCTTTCCATGTTACAGATCCTCTGCACACCCTGTCTAGTGAGAAAGATCATGTACATGCAACTTTCAGAACTCATATATCATATGAAAGGATGGTGAGTACATGGAATAGACCAAAAAAGGGGTAGGTGACTAATAGGAGTATTGGGGACTTTTCTAAACTATCTGTACAGGAAATTCTTCAAAATGTTAAGCCCCTAATCAAGCATAAAAACACC